TGAGCACTTACGAGATTTAACTGAGACGTTGGCACTGTTAGATAAGGCGGGGTTCAAACTTAACGTGAGTAAGTGCACTCTGGCATCTAAGAAATTTAAGTTTCTGGGATTCCAGGTGAGCACAGACGGTATCCGACCTGACCCCGACTCCTGTCGTGCCATTGCTGACATGCATACACCTAAGACAGCAAAGGATGTTCGAAGGTTTCTGGGGGCAGCCGGATATTTCCGTCGCCACATTGAGGGTTTTGCAAGTACAACAGCACCGTTAACTAAGCTCACTAAGAAAAATGTTAAATTCGTTTGGAAACCTGAGCATGATAACGCTTATGCAAAATTAAAAAGTCAACTCATTACCACCCCAGTCTTGGCAGTACCGGATTTTGATAAGGAATGGGAAGTACACACTGACGCCAGTGGCATAGCAATTGGTGGGTGCTTAATGCAACGCGATAATGACAATCTTCCTCACCCAGTTGCATATTTCAGCAGGAAGGTTAAGGGTCCGGAGGTCCGCTATTCTGCAACGGATAGGGAAGCTTTGGCTGTGGTAGAAAGTGTCAGGTACTTTGAACCGTATCTTTTCCAACGTCACTTTGTCATTTATACAGATTACAGGGCTTTAACTCATATTTTTAAGAAAAGAACTAAGTGCCCTCGCATGTCACGTTGGTCACATGAACTATAGCTGCTCACTCATTCCAAATACTTTACAAGCCTGGTCCATCACATGTTGTACTAGACACCTTGAGTAGAAACATTGCTACTATTAACGTAAATCTTAATATTGAAAATATTTCCAGTGAGAAAATGCGAGAATTCCAGATGAACGAACCGAGGTGGAAGGAAATTATTGAACATTTGGAAGGAGGAAAATATCCGTCGAAGAAACGTAATTTAGCAATTCATGATTTTGAAATGAAGGATGGGGTCTTATTTTATGTAAAGAGACAGAAGGATCGTGCAGTTTTTCAGTTGGTTATCCCAAAGGTGTTGAAGAAGTCGGCGTTGAAACTCGCACATTCGTCTAAGATTGCAGGTCATCCGGGGATTTTTAAAACTCACATGAAAGCCAAGTCACTCTTTTTCTTCCCCGGTATGTTAACAGAGGTCATTAACTTCGTTAAGTCCTGTGGTCATTTTCAAAGGAGGAAAGGTATCCTTAAGGTACAAGCTACATTGCAAGAATTCCCAGAAATTTTGGAACCTTTAGATCGGGTGGGGGCTGATCTGATTGATCTGCATCACAGTCATTCAGGAAACCGTTACGTATTGGTGTTGGTAGACCACCTGTCCAGGTACACCACACTGATTGCATTGCCTCAGAAAGATTCACGAACTGTTGCAAAGGCGTTCTTAGATAGGTTTGTCACGGTATTTGGTCCCCCTAAAGTGTTAGTTTCTGACCGAGGTCAGGAATTTAATGGGAATATTTTTAGAGAAGTATGTAAAATTATAGAAACCACTTCAGCATTTACGACGGCTTATCACCCTCAGGCTAACGGCATGACAGAACGGACGAACCGGTCAGTTAAAGATATGCTTGCAATTCTTGCAGAGCATGATGCAAATTCGTGGGACGAACAACTCCCCTATGTCCAGTTGGCTCTGAACACTGCCATCCATCGATCCATTAACACCCAACCCCATTTGCTGTTCACAGGGCATTCATGTAATTTCCCATCAGGTCTGCTTAACAGACATAATATTGTATATGGGGAAGACTACTCATCAGAAGTTTTAAACAAGATGAAAAATGCATGGAGAATTGCAGCCAGGGCTACCAAGACAGCACGAGACCGCTATGCTCAGCATTATGACAAGAAGGTACGACCTCTTGAGTTGAAAGTCGGGAGTCTTGTTTTGAGAGTTAATGAGGCGGCTCCTGCCAATCAGAGTAGGAAACTTGCACCTAGATGGCGGGGCCCTTACTGGGTAATTGAAAGAAAAGGTCCGGTTAATTTTGTTATTAAAGGTATTTTTGAAGACCAAGTTGAGAGAAGGTGGTGGCAGTGTCTAATGAGTTTTATTATTGTTTTTTTTATAAACTAGTAACCCTTGTCCTTGATGTATCTTCCTCATTTAATATTCCTCTTATATACGTGGCAGTCCAGTGAGGGGTCATACTGGACTGTAGCAGTGTTGAGCTGGGGTATTGAGTGAAGAGAGAAAGAGATTTACAAAACGGAGCGTGCAGAACGATTACGAGAGATCACAAGATAACAGGGTTAATACTGTGGTACATTGGGTTATTACAGATCCACCATGACTCACAACGGTTTTCTATTACCCACCACGCTTTTCCAAGAGCAACCACGCTCCTACATGACCCACAACGCTCCTCCATGACCCATCATGCCTCTCCATGACCCACCACGCTCCTCCATGACCCACCACGCTCCTCCATGACCCACAACGATCCTCCATGACCCACCACGCTCCTTCATGACCCACTACGCTCCTCCATGACCCACCACGCTCCTCCATGACCCACCAGGCTCCTCCGTGAACCACCACATTCCCCCTTGACCCACCCCTCTCCTCCATGACCCACTACGCTCCTCCATGTCCCACCACGCTCCTCCATCACCCACAAGGCTACTCCATGACCCACCATGATCCTCCATGACCCACCACGCTCCTCCATGACTCACCACGCTCCTCTATTTCCACCCACGCTTCCCTATGTCCCACGACGCTCCTCCATGACCCCAACACGCTCCTCCATACCCACCACGCATCTCCGTGACCCACCACGCTCCTCCATGACCTACTATGCTCCTCTATGCTCCTCTATGTGGGTCACTCGTCCATGACCCACCACACTCCTCCATGAGCACCCACGCTCCTCCATGACCAACAAAGCTTCTCTATGACCCACCACACTCCTCCATGACTCTCCATGCACCTCCATACCCCACAAAGCTCCTCCATGACCCACCACGCTCCTCTTTGTCTTACCACGCTCCTTCATGACCCACTACGGTCCTCCTTGTCCCACCACGCTCTTTCGTGACCCACCACGTTCCTCCATAACCCACCACTCTTCTCCATGACCCACCACGCTCCTCCATGTCCCATCACGCTTCTCCATGACCCACAACGCTCCTCCTTGACAAACTATGTTCTTCTATGACCCTCCACGCTCCTCCATGACCCGCCACGCTCCTCCATGTCCCACCACGCTCGTTCATGACCCACCACGATCCTCCATTACCCACCATGCTCCTCCATGACCCACCACGCTCCTCCATGACCCACAACGTTCATCCATGGTCCACCACGCTTGTCTATGACCCACCACGCTTGTCAATGACCCACCACGCTCCTCAATGACCAACAACGCTCCTCCATGCCCACCTCGCATCTCCATGACCCACTATGTTCCTCCATGGCCCACCACGCTCCTCCATAACCCACCACGCTCCTCCATTACCTCCTCGCTTCTCAATGACCCTCAACGCTCCTCCAAGGCCTCCACGCTTTTCCATACCAACCACGCATCTTTATGACCCACCAGTCTCCTCCATGACCCACTATGCTCCTCTATGGCCCACCACGGTCCTCCATGACCCACCACGCTCCTCCATGACCGTCCACTCTCCTCCATGACTTACCGCGCTCCTCCATGTCCCACCACGCTTCTCCTTGACCCACCACACCCCTCCATGACTCTCCTTGTTACTCCATGACCCACCACGCTCCTCCATGATCCACCACGCTCCTCCATGTCCCATCACGCTCCTCCATGATCCACCACAGTCCTCTATGACCCACCATGATCCTCCATCACCCACCATGCTCCTCCATGATCCACAACGCTCATCCTTGACCCACCACGCTCGTCTATGACCCACCACGCTCCTCAATGACCCACAACGCTCCACCATGACCCACCACGCTCCTCCATGACCCACAATGTTTACCCGTGACCCACCACGCTCATCTACGACCCACCACGCTCCTCCATGACCCTCCACGCTCTTCCATGACCCACCACGCTAATTCATGACACAACCACGCTCCTCCATGACCCACCACGCTCCTCCTTGACAAACTATGTTCTTCTATGACCCTCCACGCTCCTCCATGACCCACCACGCTCCTCCATGTCCCACCACGCTCGTTCATGACCCACCACGATCCTCCATGACCCACCATGCTCCTCCATGACCCACCACGCTCCTCCATGACCCACAACGCTCATCCATGATCCACCACGCTTGTCTATGACCCACCACGCTCCTCAATGACCAACAGCGCTCCTCCATGATCCACCACGCTCTTCCATGACTCACCACGCTCCTCTTTTACCCACCACGCTCTTCCAAGAGCAACCACGCTCCTACATGACCCAAAACGCTCCTCCATGCCCACCTCGCATCTCCATGACCCACCACGCTCCACCATGACCCACTATGTTCCTCCATGGCCCACCACGCTCCTCCATAACCTACCACGCTCCTCCATTACCTCCTCGCTTCTCAATGACCCTCAACGCTCCTCCAAGACCCACCACGCTCCTCCATGACTCCCCACTCTCCTCCATGACCCACCACACTCCCCCATGACCAACCCCTCCCCTCCATGATCCACAACGCTCTTCCATGTACCACCACGCTCCTCCATGATTCACAACGCTCCTCCATAACCAACATGATCCTCCATGACCCACCACGCTTCTCCATGACTCACCACGCTCCTTTATTACCAACCACGCTCCTCTATGTCCCACCATGCTCCACCATGAACCCAACACTCTCCTCCAAGGCCCACCACGCTTTTCCATACTTACCACGCATCTTTATGACCCACCAATACAATACAATACAATACAATTTTATTTAGGTAAGGTACATACATACAATAAATATTTACAAGGATTGTTTGACTTATAGGTAGAGCTAGTACATACAATGCCTAAAGCCACTATTACGCAAAGCGTTTCGGGCATTTCCGACCACGCTCGTCAATGACCCACAACGCTCCTCCATGACCCATCACGCTCCTCCATGACCCTCCACGCTCCTCCAAAAGCAAATACGCTCCTGCATGTCCCACCACGCTCCTCCATGACCCTCCACTCTCCTCCATGACTCACCACGCTCCTCCATGTCCCACCACGCTCCTCCATGACCCTCCACTCTCCTCCATGACTCACCACGCTCTTCCATGTCCCACCACGCTCCTCCATGACCCTCCACTCTCCTCCATGACTCACCACGCTCCTCCTTGACCCACCACACTCCTCCATGACTCTCCTCGGTCCTCCATGACCCACCAGGCTCCTCCATGACCCACCAGGCTCCTCCATGATCCACCACGCTCCTCCATGTCCCATCACGCTCCTCCATGACCAACCATGATCCTCCATCACCCACCATGCTCCTCCATGACCCACAACGCTCATCCTTGACCCACCACGCTCGTCTATGACCGACCACGCTCGTCAATGACCCACAACGCTCCTCCATGACCCACCACGCTCCTTCATGACCCTCCACGCTCCTCCATGACCCACGACGCTCTTCCATGACCCACCACGCTCCTCCATGACCCACCACCCTCCTCCATGAGCCACCACGCTCCTCCATGAACTACCACGCTCCTCCATGACCCACCACGCGTTTTAATAACTCACCACACTCCTACATAACCCAACACGTTTCTTCATGACCCACCACGCTGCTTCATGACCCACCACGCTCCTCGAACACCCAACACGCTCCTTTATGACCCACCACGCTCCTACATGAGCCACCACGCTACCCCAAGATCCACCACTCTCCTCCAGGACCCATCACGCTCCTCCATGTCTCACCACGCTCCTCCATGAACCACCACACTCCTCCATGGCTCTCCACGCTCCTCCATGACCCACCACGCTCCTCCATAAGCCACCACGCTCTTCCATGACCCACCGCGCTCCTCCATGACCCACCGCGCTCCTCCATGACCCCACCACGATCCTCCATGACCCACCACGCTCCTTTATGAGCTACCATGCTCCTCCAAGAGCGACCACACTCCTCTATGAGCCACCACGCTCCTCCATGACCCACAACGCTCCTCTATGACCCACCACGTTCCTTCATGACCCACTATGCTCCTCCATGACCCACCACGCTCCTCCATGACCGACCACGCTCCTCCATGACCCACTGCGCTCCTCCATGACCCACCACGCTTTTCCATGACTCACCACGCTCCACGTTACCTAGCAGTAAAATAAGTGCCTGGGTGTTAGTCAGCTGTCACGGGCTGCTTCTTGGGGGTGGAGGCCTGGTCGAGGACCGGGCCGCAGGGACACTAAAAGCCCCGAAATTATCTCAAGATAACCTCAAGATACCCTTCATGACCCACCACTTTCCTCGATGACCCTACGCTCTCCTCTATGACCCACCATGCTCCTCGAAGACCCAACACGCTCCTCCATGACCCAAATCGCTCCTCCATAATCCACCACGCTCCTCCATGACCCACCTCGCTCTTCCACGACCCACCACGTTCCTCCATGACCCACCACGTTCCTCCAAGACCCAATACGCTCCTCCATGACACACAACGCTCCCTCATGACCCACCACGCTCCTCCATGACCATCCATACTCCTGCATGACCCTCCACGCTCCTCTATGACCCACCACGCTCCTCCATGACCCACGACGCTCCTCTATGACGCACTATGCTTCTCTAGGACCAACCATGCTCCTCCATGACCCACCACGCTCCTCCATGACCTACTACACTCCTCTATGACTGTGACAATAATCTCCTTCAAGAGATTGTGCCTGCTCTTCCCTCCACAAATACGTCGCAACAAATATATATAACTACTATGGAAGAAATGTCCAACAACGACAACAGCACCAGCAAGGTTTGCCAGAGCGCAAAACGTATGCAGCCAAGAACACCTGCTCAGACTCAAACCGCCAAACTACCTGTCTTGCTGCCGGCTCCTCTGATTGGTCGCCGGTCGGGCTGCAACTGCACTCCACCCCCCCATACTACTTGATGTCTGGGGCCGCCACGACCTCAGTCCTCAGAATATTCCGTGCTTTCACAGTTAACACTTCTCCCTGTTAGACGTAAGCTTTAGCGTACGTATACTGAGAGAGGTGATAGCTTAAAGCCAATATTCCAGCACCTTTCATATACTTGAATATTGCACTTCTTGTTATTTTGTCTTAACGTAACTTTTCATTGTGTCATTTAATTATTCTTATTATTTTGATTGATTGATTTTATTATACGAATTTGTTTGTCCATTTTATTCATGTTTTATTTCTTTAACGTAATTAAAATTCCATTGTTAAAATTTACTTGTGTTTTGTGTGTCTTCTCCTTACCTTACCACAGACGAAGTTCCAGATTTTCTATTTTTTTTTAATACTATGTGACGAGGCCATACCCCTAGCTTTGAACAGCCGAACACCAACGCGTTACCGTCACATATTATATGGGGGCCTGTCCGGGATCAATCAGAGGAGCCGGCAGCAAGACAGGTAGTTTGGCGGTTTGAGTCAATTAATTTTAATTACGTTAAAGAAATAAAACATGAATAAAATGGACAAACAAATTCGCATAATAAAATCAATCAATCAAAATAATAAGAATAATTAAATGACACAATGAAAAGTTACGTTAAGACAAAATAACAAGAAGTGCAATATTCAAGTATATGAAAGGTGCTGGAATATTGCACTTCTTGTTATTTTGTATTAACGTAACTTTTCATTGTGTCATTTAATTATTCTTATTATTTTGATTGATTGATTTTATTATACGAATTTGTTTGTCCATTTTATTCATGTTTTATTTCTTTAACGTAATTAAAATTCCATTGTTAAAATTTACTTGTGTTTTGTGTGTCTTCTCCTTACCTTACCACAGACGAAGTTCCAGATTTTCTATTTTTTTTTAATACTATGTGACGAGGCCATACCCCTAGCTTTGAACAGCCGAACACCAACGCGTTACCGTCACATATTATATGGGGGCCTGTCCTAGGAGCTTCACTCAGGTACTGGTGCCAAGTGGTAATTTATGGTAAGCGTATTTAACTTTGTTAACGTAGCTTTACTATTTTTCATATTCAATTTCATTTTTTATAAGGTGCGGTGTATTGTGCATTACGAGAGTAACATATGGTGAAGGTGAGACAACTTTGGATTACGTGGTGACTGTAGGCCACAGTCATACTCTTAATTGGTCATCTCTCCCTCCGTGTTATTACTCGTGTTTACCATCTTTGTCCCTTGGATATTTCTCATTTTTGACAGATCATCATATTGGTACCCTGGTACTGTGGTCTGCCCCGGGTCAAGAGTACCCAATCTTCTGCAATCTGACTGTAGGAGGACAAAGAGGGCCATAGTTCCTCTAGCTCGAACTTTAGTTGCTGAATTGGGACCTCAGCAGCAGTTCTCGTCACCAGTTGACACCTCGCACCCCTACACGTCAGTCAGAGATGATGATACATACAACGGTAGGGAATTAGCTTACTTTTTCAGAGCACAAAAGTTCGCTAATTCTGTAAGTATCATATTAAATTCAGTAGGAAAAACTTGCTTTATGTCCTATAGAGACTTGGCAAGGTATGCCTACATCCTTGGACTACCAATTTTACTTTTGAGACAATTAACTGTTTCATTTGTTTTCGAAACTCTGTTTCATTTGTTAGTAGGATTTTCTTGCCCTTATCCTCTTACATGAGTACCGGGTACAAGATTTCCTGCGCCCTTGATTTAATTTAATCATTTAACATCTTTTACTTAACTTTAATTGTTAAAGATCTCACAGGATAGGTACCAGTTGCCACGTTGTCCTGTTTCTGACATTCACTATTGAATATTCGTGTTACATTTATTTGCTAATTTCACCATGTTTCGTCTCCAAGCTTTCCGTGCAAATCCAGCAGGTGAAATAGGGACTTTAAGTCGTGCCAAGAAGACTGAATTACAAACTCTTGCACATGAGTATCAACTAGAAGTTCCCTACCAAGCCAACAAATACGACCTACACAACCTGTTGCTGGATTACTATTTAGAGCAAGGTAAGATAGACTCTGAAACTCATGAAACTTACTATATTGCAGAAAAAACTGATTTGGCAACGATGAAACTCAAATTGGAACTGGCCAAGATTGAGCGTGAGCAGCAAAGGGAAGCAGCTGCCATAAGAAGGGACGAACAAGAACGCGAAGCTGCCTTGAGGAGAGACGAACAAGAACGCGAAGCTGCCTTGAGGAGAGACGAACAAGAACGCGAAGCTGCCTTGAGGAGAGAAGAACACGAACGTGAGGTCGCATTACTCCGTGAACGTGAACGAGTACAGCTTGAAACCAAACAACGCGAGTTGGAAATACAACGCGAACATGACAAGCAACAAGCGACTCTGGCTCTAGAGTGTCGTCAACGCGAAATCGCCTTGGAAACTTCACACTTCACTCAACGCCAGCAAGCTACTGCCAATCTTCCCGTCAGTTTTAATATATCACATGCAAGTAAGTTAATGCCATCCTTTGTAGAAGCAGAAGTTGATGTGTTCTTTACCACCTTTGAAACCCTTGCTAATCAACTCAGTTGGCCTGTCGACCAATGGGCCACACTTCTCAGAGTTCATCTTACAGGTAGAGCTGCAGTCACACTCAGTACTTTGGCGTCTGAGAATGACTACCACACTCTGAAACAAGCAGTGTTAGACGCCTACCTACTTTCCACAGAAAGTTATAGAAGGAAATTCCGTGACCACCTGAAGGCAAGTACCACTACCTTCCTCGAGTTTGCTAACACGAAACGGAGGTATTTCATGAAATGGCTGGAAGCAGCACATGTCTTTACTTTTACAGAACTCGTCAACCTGATGCTTGTTGAAGAATTCTTGAGACGTGTGCCGCCTCCTGTCCGCCTCTACTTAGCAGATAAAGAAGAAACCGACTACCTGAAGTGTGCTAAGTCGGCTGACACTTACAGCCTCATCCACCGGCAGACACCCGAACCATCCTCTAGTAAGAAGTCGTGGTACAGTTACGAGAAAGTGAGCCCCGATCAAGCTGATTCACAACTGTACTGCAAGTATTGTAGACTCTATGGACATACCATAGACAAGTGTGGTAAGTCTCAATACAAGGGAACCACTGACCAACAAAAACCCAAACCAACTCCTCCTAAGTCCGGTAAGCCTGTGATGAATGTTGGTGTTGATGTTAATGATCTTTCTCTTTTCAGTAACCACCTGTATACTGGAACTGTCTCTGCCAACGGTTCAAATCCGGAGGGACGTTTCAAATTGAAGATCTTGAGGGACACAGCGGCTCTACAATCGATCATCTTGAAGTCGGCTGTGCCCAACATCACCTACAGCGGAGAAACTGTCTTCATTACTGACCTCACTGCTACCACTCCATACCCTCTCGCCAGAGTCCACCTGGATTGTCCCTACGTGAACGGGGAAGTCCAAGTCGCCGTCAGGGAAAAGCCTTTTCCCATGCCTGGAGTGCAACTTCTCCTAGGCAACGACTTGGCAGAAGACCT